AGGTACATAAGATCATTTTTTTTCTTTTTATAACCAATGTTTTTGACATATGTTCATCTAATTTGGAGGTAGTAGGCTATTTTGAACTATAGAATTTCTTCTATTTTGAGCTAGGCAATCTGGTATCCACACTCAGGAAGATGTATATAAATGGGGAAATTTCCCACGCATAAAAAATTTTTTGAAGCCCTAGGTCAGCGCAGTTCGCGCAAAGCAATCTAATTATATTTTCTTTGCACAGGCGTTTGCACAATTCACAGTCATCGATTGCACGCCGCGCAGCACTCAGCACGGTCTGCAGAGCTGTCCAACACAGTTCTGATTTAGACACAGTTTTCATCTGAATGGAATGGCAACATTGTCTGTAGATTTCAAGTAACGCTGAACCAGTGTTGCTAGATGGTATATTTCTATACTTGTCAATTTTCCTGGCCGGGAGGATGTTGGGGATGTAGGTAGTCCCAACATTGGCATGCAGGATCATACTGTTGACGTACAGGTTCATAGGTACCCTACTTGCCGCAACCAGTCCAGCCATTCATTAGAAGGCACTGATGGCACATCTAAAGCCATGTTGCCTTTTTTAGTTATGTAATTCATGTCCAATTGAATTGTAATCTATGAATGAATATTCATTACTGTGCTGACTCTTAGAACCTGAGTCCTTAGTTGACACGTTAGCAATCTAGTTAACTCATATCCAACCACAACTCACAACACAATGTGGATACACGTTTGACGGTTTGTGTGTACGGTCAGTGTGATTACGTAATTCGCGTTGCCGCGCGTCCATATTCAAACTATTTCAGCATTTTAAAAGTATGGCGCACTGCGCAGGTTGTTAAAATGACAATATAAATTCCCGCGCACCTGGCACATCTTCCTGACCATGGTCTGGTATTCTTGCCGAGAAAAAACCTGGCAACACTGACCGAATCAACACTTCAGCAAACTCGTCTGCAAACTCGAATGCAAAACCTAACTTCATTTTCAACTCAGGCAGTAGGCACTAATAAATCTGTCAAAAATGAACGGATTTTATTCAAATTTCAAATATTAGTAGATAATATCAGTAATTTGTGGACGGAATTTTTTCAAATTTTTACTTCAATAGGTAACTTTTTTTGTTAATATGGAAAACCTAACTTCATTTTCAACTCAGGCACTCATAAATCTGTCAATAATGAATGGATTTTATTCAAATTTGAAATATATGTAGATACCAATAATATCAGTAATTTGTGGAGGGAATTTTTTCAAATTTTTACATTCAATACCGGTACTTTTTTATTATCACGGAAAACCAAACTTCATGTTCACCTCGCAGGTTAGGTCCTAGTCAGGTCAAGTTTCAGTATTTTGTGGCATTAGAAAAAAGTAATTGATGTAAAAATCTGAAATAATTCTCTCCACAAATTACAGATGTTATCTACTTATATTTCAAATTTGAATAAAATCCATTCATTATTGATGGATTTATGAGTGCCTGAGTTGAAAATGAAGTTGGGTTTTGCATTCGAGTTCGCAGGCCAGTTCGCACGCAAGTTCGCTGAAGTGTCGGACGGGTCAACGATGGACGTGTCGAAGCTGACAGACGATGACTGCTGCGGGCCATGCTGACAGGACGCAGGTTCTGCATGCTGAGACCCTGCAAGTCTCAACTTATAGTGTGCAAACCACTAAACTAGTGATATTTTTGAATCAGTTCATTTGTCATTCCTAATTATTGAACCTAATTTGTAACTTTGTAAGGTTATAGCCTAATGCCCTAATGGGCCTAACCTAACATAATTACTTACTTACATTTTTCCATAGGATACTGAAAAGAATTCTGAACTGCTGTCAATGCCACAAGTTGACACTTGACAATGCCACCTCACTATATGGTAGTGCCATGCTACAGGCTACAGTGAGACAGAAAAATATTTATTAAAATGGACCCAATACTATCATTTCATTATCACAGGAAAATGGGTACTAGAACATTTATTAATATTGCTTAAAAGTTAAAGATAGTGTGTAATGCATTTCTGACATTTAATTTGTAATTAGTTCTGAGATTACAAATCAACAATCAACATGACAAAAATTCTGCAAGCAATAATAATTTTTTCCTTCTCCTGTCTGTAGACTGTACCCCATTTGGGTGATGCTCTATTGCTGAGAAAATGTTTTCTGTACAAGCTCAGGGTCATTCCGAGCTGAAACGCAGTAAAAAGAGGTTCATATTGCTTGTACTACTCCATATTTTAGAGACATTTTAATATGGTCATTAATTTATTCTATAAATATACCTGACAACGGGCAACCTAAGTGCATATAAATTTGGGAGAAATGGCAAGGTTTGTGTTGGACATTTGCTTCATGAGGCTGATTGAGGCAGGACTTAAAGAATAATTTTTGTTGCTAATTTATACTAACTATGCAATAAAAGTGTGATAACCAATGATGCATTAATTTTTTGTTAATATTTTTTTTTTGCTGAGCGAGGTAAATGCAATAAAATTTTTTTGTTGTCAATTAATTTTTTTGTTAACTGGAGCCTCTGCTAATTGAGGTACCGTCAACCGGGGCTACTCGGGACAAGCAGGGCTACTCGGGACAGGCCTCCGACACGGCGTAAAAGTGTTATAGTAGCGAAACTAATTGCAATATTGCAAAATTAAAAATAGTGGCGTAAACGTCAACATTTTTCCTATCTATGTAGTACGTATAAAGGAAGTCGAAAAATACTACATTTACTTGCTTCAAAAAATTTCTGAAAAAAATGGTGAAAAACTACCTATATTTTTTAAAGTTACAACTGCTAAGGTATGTAACAAAAAAAATATTCGCCGTATTAAAAAATTTTACTTGCGTAAAAGTTGCACCCAGGTGTCGGCTTGAAAAGGTATTTGACAGAATTTGCCTACGGTATCTCATTCCAAAAAGGAATGGCAGCCATTTCCGCACAGCGGGGCTACTCGGGACACCCCCCCGGGGCTATTTGGGACACCCTCAAAAACGGATTTACGGTAGAACCTCAGTTAGCAAAGGCTCCAATTACGAAAAAAATTGATTGAAAACAAAGAATATTGATCACATTTTCCTTGCTCAGCGAAAAAAATTTCACTTATCGAAAAATTAGTGCATCATCAGTCATCTATGGAATTTTTTTGACAATGCCTTTTGATAGCCCTCGCAAAGAGCTATAAAATGAGCCTAAATTTGTTTATGAAATGTTTCATCGTAAGAAGTTATTAACAGTTATTAACAAAAAAACGATCAAATCTGTCCCGAGTAGCCCCGGTTGATGGTACTACTGTAAATGCATTTTTAGGGGTGTCCCTCATCACGGGGGGTGTGCCATATTACCACGTCTTGCGGAAGTGGTTCCCATTTTTTTAATGAGTAATGTAAAATTTTGTAAATTCTGTCAAGCAACACCTGTGTGCAAATTTTATGTAAGTAAAATTTTTTAGTATGGCAAATATTTTTAGCACATTTTCTCATTTATTGAAAAAGGCACTATTGTGCTTGTCATGTCCATCCATCCATCTGCCTGTCCATCCATGACTTCACATTTTTTGTCAGGGAGAAAATCCACTCTGTCACTCACTGCAGTGAGTACTGAGTTATAATTTTTGCAACAAACCTTAGCAGAGGAAAGTTTCAAAAATCTCACTTTTAACACTTTTTCTATTTTTTTTTCACACATTTTTTCAGTAAATGCATCATTTCTTAACTTGCTTTATGCTAACAAGATATTAAAAACGTCGAACTTAATGCCACTGTTTTTAGTTTTGCAATATTTTGATTAGTTTAGCTGCTACAACATTTCTACGGTGGGATAACTGTCCTGATTTACCCCGCCCATCCCTTATTACCCCGTTTGATGGTATAAATGTGGATTCACAGAATCGGCAAACTGGCTGCTGATTCCATAGAATTGGCAATTCTGCCATTTCAGCACAACATACACCTGCATATATTATTATTATCTATGAATAATATACCTTGTTTTAACTCCAGGGTGCAGAGAGTGGGTGAATATTTAAAGATCTTTGGCAATGCATCTTCATCAAAATATTTGTCTTCAGAAGAGTTGGTGCCTTGCTGACACATACACTGTTAGTTGTTAAAGCCCCATTTACATGTATTTTTGGCAAGAAATCATGAAAATTAAGACAGCCATTGGTGACAAATATTTAATTTTACTGGTAACACTTTGGACCACTATCCCATTCTTGCTGACACAATTGCCAAACTCTGCACAGTGGTATAATTGAACAGATTCATCTTGTTCATTTTAGCCAGTAGCAAAATATATGTACAGAATGTCATCAAATTTTTTGTGTCATATGAATTGAGGATATTTTTAACTTCTTTCCAGAGGATTTTCACTTGTTAAAAGCAAGTTCTGAGTTCCAAACATTTTCATAGTTCAGAATGTCTATGTATGAAATGGAAAATAGATTTTCTTCCTTCTAGGTCATGTTCATTATGACTAGACTAGTAAAAAGATTGTTTAAGCTATTTACGGTGTTCTCCGAGTTTCAAAATAGATTTACCTAGGTATTCTCTATTATAATCAAAGAAGAGGGGCCTAGTATGAATTTTATTTCAAATTTAGAACTGGCTTTAAAATAATAGAATTTTATTTCAAATTTAGAACTGGCTATAAAATAATAGATGTCTAAAGCTTTTGTAAAAAATGGAGATAAACCCAATTCCAGCTGCAATTCTGCTAGTTAAAGATGGCAGTGGTGGTGACAAGCTGTTATTCAAGTATCCATACTGCTTGTGCTATGATGAATTTGAAGAAAAGAACAATCAAAATGAACCTCATTTAATTTTGGATGAAAAAGGAATAGCAGATTCAGCCAGAGGAAATTACTCAAGTAATGCTGTGAAGAGTACATTAGATGGAACCAATAACCACATTGAAAAAAACGATGCTCGTGGTAGACTGGGCAGCGAACTGAGTGACCACGAAGAAGTCGAAGCAGCTAACACCAAGCATGGCCACCCCAATGATGGTAGAGTTGCTGGACAACAGAGAGCTCCAGGGCAAGGGCATGACGCATTCATGCAGGATGTCTCAGCAGGTGCTTGTTTATACTACATATATCTTTGACTATATGAGCCTCTAAATTTGTAACTATTTCTTATTCTGGTTTTAGTTTGTAGTTTAGCTTCTTTTCATTATTTTCATGCTTATTTTAAATCAATGGACATGTTGCATTCATGCAGGATGTCTCAGCAGGTGCTTGTTTATACTACATATATCTTTGACTATGATATGCCTTCAGTTCAGTTAAGAGAGCCTTCAGTTCATTTAAGAGAGCCTTCAGTTCAGTTAAGAGAACTGAAGGCTCTCTCAGTTCTTTCTTCAGGAGTTGTATGTTGTGCTTGTAACTAACATATATAATTTCTATCATTGCAGGCACTCTCTAATCTGCTTGCAGTCAAAACAGACATGTGTGGCTGCCGATTTGAGTTATCTGTTAAGGATGTACGGTTCATTGGCTACCCAATTCTTATTGATCCTCTGAAAAAAACTTCTCTGCAAATGTTTCATCTGGCATTTGTTCTGGATGTGAGTGAGAAATAAATAGTTAATGCATATGGTATCTATGATAATAATAATAGTTTAATGCATATGGTATCTATGAACTCCTTGACACTGGAATAGTAGTGATTTTCAATTAAAAACATATATCTCAAATCAATATTTGAAAGATGTCAGACAACTTGAAATACTACCTACTAAAAATAATAATCATAATCAATTCCTTAATTCCTTATCCATAATCAATTCATCATAATCAATTCCTTATCCATAATTAATTCATCATAATCAATTCCTTATCGTATATTGATGTCAGTTTCTGCAAGTGATAAGAGTTGGCTGTTATTTGAATTTTTTGGTTACTTTACTTAACTGTTTCCATTGAAGGCTCGTCTGGAGCCAGAAATTGTCAATGGATTCTACAGCCTGTGCAAGAGGCTGGCCGTGGGACTCAAGTATATGGACACCAATAAAAGATATCTTACTTCACAAGTCCAGGCCATGATTGTTACTCATGAAGAGGTAGGTACACACCCATGATTGTTAGGGTACTCATGAAGACACAGGCACAGGTTAGGCACATACCTCTTCATGAGTAACAATCATGGGTGTGTACCTACGTACACACCCATGATTGTTACTCATGAAGAGGTAGGTACCCATGGTTGTTACTCATGAAGAGGTAGGTACACACCCATGGTTGTTACTCATGAAGAGGTAGGTAAACACCCATGATTGTTACTCATGAAGAGGTAGGTACACACCCATGATTGTTACTCGTGAAGAGGTAGGTACACACCCATGATTGTTACTCATGAAGAGGTACACTCGGACGACATATTTTTTATATTGCCTTTGCTACTAACATTTATTAGTCATGGCTTAACAGTATTGATATTTATGTTGTTGGGATGTCCATGGCATCATAGTTATTGTATTACCGGGCATAATGTTTTAGGGAGGCTCTTGCATATAAATTGTTAATTGAAGTCTGTCAGTGTTCATAGTGTTCATTTTAATTATGCACCTTGCAGTGAATAATTTTTGATCAATTAGGTGTATTTATTTGATTTATTGAAAAATATGATATAATTGCTTAGTTTTGTGCAAATGCAAATCTTTGACATAGCTTTCATAAGATTTTTTTTTTTAAATTTGAGGCAAAGAATTCATGTNTCATGTTTGTCACTATAAAAAATTTACTCTACCCATTATCCTGTCGCAAGATTTTGCTTTATTACTTGAATGTTATTAGTGTAATGTACAAATTTAATTGCATTGCTAGAATTCACCTTATTAATCGCTAGGTATATATTTTAAATACCGTAAAATGGGGTAACTTTGACCACTTTTTTTCAAAATGATACCATTTTTTTACTAGATAAGTTAAACTTAAATTGAAACTCTGCTTTATTACTTGAATGTTATTAGTGTAATGTACAAATTTAATTGCATTGCTAGAATTCACCTTATTAATTGCTATATATTTTATTTCAGGTAGCAAACAGAGGAAAGTCTGACAATGGTGCCTTGGATCCATATGACGAGATAGCCAAGCAGAGCGACCTGGCGCAGCATCTTGTCTCTATATACAATACGTGAGAAATATCCTCTACAATATTAAAATAATATATGCAAAAAAATGTAAAGTATAGCTTCAGGTTTATTTCCTGCACTAACAGTGCTTGAATGTCTGGTATAAATGTTACGTGAGAAATATCCTGTACAATATTAAAATAATATATGCAAAAAAATTTAAAGTATAGCTTCAGGTTTATTTCCTGCACTAACAGTGCTTGAATGTCTGGTATAAACGTTACGTGAGAAATATCCTCAACAATATTAAAATAATATATGCAAAAAAATTTAGAGTATAGCTTCAGGTTTATTTCCTGCACTAACAGTGCTTGAATGTCTGGTACGGTATAAACAATACGTGAGAAATATCCTCAACAATATTAAAATAATATCTGTAAAAAAATTTAAAGTATAGCTTCAGGTTTATTTCCTGCACTAACAGTGCTTGAACGTTTGGGATGAACAGGAGAAGATTTTACTCAAGAATGAATTTAAAGTGTGATCAAATTTTATGAAGATAAATGAGGAAAAAAGCACGAGTTTGTGCTATTTTGAAAATTATAAAAAAAAATTCGTACAAAAAAAAGGTTATTTTTCTGGTCTTGTTCTTCAAGCTGTCACATTTACGGCTTGCCTAGATTTTATTGCCTATATTCACTCGGTTTTTAAGTTATTTGTTCTTTGAATTTCCGTATATGAAGAAGTATGGTGATGGTAACTGAATTGATGTAAATCAATGTTGTTGTTTTTTATTTCTTTTATTCTGGTCTTGTTCTTCAAGCTGTCTCATTTACGGCATGCCAAGATTTTTTTTCATATATTCACTAGGTTTTTAAGTTATTTGTTCCTTGAATTTCCGTACATGAAGGAGTATGGTTATGGTAACTGATTTGATATAAATTAATGTTGTGTAATTGTTCAGACTGAGCACAAGTGGAGATTGCCGCGTCAACCTGGATGACTGGTTCAACGTCAGCTTTGTGATGCCTTACAAGGCCTACGCTAACCTGCCTCAGGGGAACTACTTCAATGTGAGTGTTGGTACTAAAATGAAATATTAGTAAGTATTATAAAGTACCGATTAAATAAATTATTGAAATGTATTATAAAGTACCGATTAAATAAATTATTGAAAGAACGCTAGCCTGCCTCAGGGAAATTACTTCAATGTGAGTCTTGGTACTAAAATTGAATATTAGTAAGTATTATACAGTACCTATTAAATAAATTATTGAAAGAACGCTAGCCTGCCTCAGGGGAACTACTTCAATGTGAGTGTTGGTACTAAAATTGAATATTAGTAAGTATTATACAGTACCTATTAAATAAATTATTGAAAGAACGCTATCATATCCTTGCTCAACCAGAATTTGATAGTGTAGCTGTTGTATTTTTACATTTAGCTACTTATCCGGCTAGGTAGGCCCGCCGCCAGGGTACGTACTACGTAGGTACAGCATTGTCGTTGTGACTTGTGTTGTGGTCTTGTGGAGACTATGGAGACTTGGAGAGTGGAGACAACCTTGCATTTGCAGCCTCCGAGTCTCGCAGTCGCATCATTGACAATTCTGCCTGATTCAGTTTGAGACTCCAAGTCTCCAGCGGACCAGCCTCTCCAGTCTCCACTGCAGAGAGTGGGTGAATATTTAGAGATCATTGGCAATGCATCATCTGCATCAAAATATTTGTCTTCAGAAAAGTTGGTGCCTTGCTGAGTGCTGACACATACATTGTTAGTTGTTAAAGCCCCATTTACGTGTATTTTTGGAAAGAAATCATGAAAATCAAGGCAGTTATGGTGACTGACATAGTGGAAAGCTATGAAGAGAGGTACTTATGGCAGTCCACCGCCGTGCAGCGGTCTTAACCCTTTGCAAGGCCCCATGCCCTTGGCCCTTGTCCCTTGGGGCGCCCCTCTTGCAAGTTGCAATGGTCTAAACTCAACAGTTTTACCCCATGGTCTCAATGTCTCATCACAACTCCCTTTAGAAATATGTAGAGTTTTGAAATTTATAGTAATAAATCAATAAATATTTGAACTGGGAAATTCCTTAGTTACTTACGTTGGTTCCACAATGATATCAATGACGTAAAAAATGACAATGACCTCGGTTAAGCCTTAGCCATGATTCTAGCTTTGCTCAGTCCTTACACTCTTACCTCGTAATTCATGATGTTAGAACTTCGATATTCAAATGTTGACACTACTGTCAAGTGTCAATATCACAATCAAAATGATTTCACAATCAGAAATATGTTATAATATCACAATCAAAAATATTATTCACAAATAACCATCCATTTCAATGCAAACACAAGAACATGTGGTAGATACATTGACTGTGACAAAAAAATGCAATATTTTGCTGTACCACAAACAAATAAATGTAAATAATTAGCAATGGAAAATGTGTTTCTGCAACATTTTGAGAGACTGCCTAAGCAGAATAATATATTGTTATTATTATAGTTATATAGTAAATATACTAACAATAAAATAGTTCCTTTGATGGCCACTGCTGGCGCTAGC